GCCAGGATGGTCTCGATCTCCTGACTTCGTGATCCGCCCGTCTCGGCCTCCCAAAGTGCTGGGATTACAGGCTTGAGCCACCGCGCCCGGCCAACGATCCCGCTTTCATAGATGAAGAAACCAAGGCTTTGTGACTAACTCAACCCTGCAAGGAGGACAAAACTGGCATCAGAGCACCTTGCTCCTGGGTCTGGCAAGAATGCCTCTTGCTTGCTGAGAGGCCCACAGATTGATCTGGCTCAAGAGTGGGAGATGGGAGGTGACCAGGTCTGTGCCAACCTCTCTCTGAGCTCCTCCGGGTCGTGGCAGCTGAGGTGCTCCTCCGGGAATGTTCTACCATCCACGAGGTCGGGTAGGCCTGGAAGCTTTTGTTCCATTGAACTCTGCCAGGGAGCTATACTTAGCCACGCGAGTGGAGGCCGGGAGTGGGTTCTCTGAATATACATAGTAACAAGCAGGCTATTTTCAAACACCTAGAGAACCCCCCTGATTATTCTGGGCCAAAATGATATTTATAGGATGCTCTGGGCTCTTGGACACGAAGGCAATAACCTTAGCGTCTTTTGGCGTTCGGGATAAGTTTCTTTCAACAGGGAGTGGGGAGAGGGACCCGGTCACCCAGAGGCCCGCTGTCCCTCAACACCTGTTTCTAGGAGGCCAGGCGTCCTCTTTGCTTTTACACTATGAGTCAGAGAACAGCGAGAGGCACGCAGGGCCACTAATTTTCCTTCCTGCACACCCTGGTGTGGGTCCTGTCTGAGGCCTGCCGTGTGCTGTCAGGGGAGACGTCATCGGGGGACTTTTCCTGCTGTGAGGAGGGTGCAGCCCCCACCTTTCAGAGCTTGGGACACCCTCTTCCTCTTGTCCAGGATCCTCAGGGATTTCCTAGGCTTGCACTCACCCAGACATCACTGGGCCATAACTGAAACACCCGCTTCTAGTGTGCTCAGGTCCTGCAGCCTCCTGTCCATCCTTGCCCCGCCTCCCGCCCGGGAGAAAGACTCTGACAGTACCCCTGGAAGAGGGAGGAGAGTGGATGTGACGAGTGAAGATTTGGGTGGGGAAAGGAAGGCCTGAGTCCTGGGAGGAATAACTTGCCAGGCTCCGAGCCCCTGGAGACTGTGAGCAAGGCCGAGACGCCCCCTTCCTGGTGCTCTAGCTGCAGGTGTTGGAGAGGGCTCTAGAAGCCCAGATTTTAAGTGACCACCCCAGGTTAACCTGGGCATAGTCAGACAGAACAAGGAGGAGAGGCCAGCAGTGAAGGGTGGGGCTGGTAGGCAGTGGCTGGGGGTGTCCTGGTGGGGCTGGCCGCCCTTGCTGCCTCTGACTTGGGCCAGACCTGCCCTAAGTGGAGTGGCTCCTCCATTCTTTACACCCCAGGCCCCCGGCAGGTGCCCTGCCTTTCCTCTGCCCCTCTCTCTGCCAACCCGTTCTCTCCCTCCCAGCCCCTGCCTGCCCAGATATAAATATAAGAGCATTTTCCATGGGCTGAGACAGAAGGGAAAACATTCAGCTTTATTTTCGGCTTGTGAAATTCCTGTCCTTCATTCCCAACAGGTGCAGTCGCCTCATTTAGATATTGGGACCCAGAAATAGAACACAATTTACAATATAGCTTCCTTTAGGGATCTGGATGCTACAAAAAAAAAAAAAAAAAAAAAAGGCCTCCTATGAGATGCCAAGACTGAACAACTTGACAGAAACCGTGGTTGGAGCTCTTGCCTTTATCCAGGCCGGTGGAGACCCTCAGCCCTGGCAGCCTGACCGTGAAGCAGAGGAGGCAAGAGCTCCGGGAGACAGTCGGGAGGGAGGGGGCCCTGGAGGACAGGCTTCTAACCCTACTCCTCCTCAAGACCCGGCTGCTGGCCTGTCCCCTGCCTTTGCCCTGATGGGGATGAGGGAGAGGAGATGGGTCAGGAAACAGCCGTGACCATTGGGGAAGGTGACTTGGATGCAACCTTTGAAGGAGATGCTTCTAGTAAACCCCATCGGTTAAGATCAGCTGTCCCCCATGATCCTTTGTGTGTGTTGTTGGTTTTGCACAGGGTCTCGGTCTGTCGTCCAGGCTGAGTGCAGTGGTATGATCTTGGCTCACTGCAGCCTCCACCACTTGGGCACAAGCAGTCCTCCTGCCTCAGCCTCCTGAATAGCTCAGACTACAGGGGTGCGCCACCACACCCAGCTCATTTTTTTGTATTTTTAGTAGAGACAGAGTTTTGCCATGTTGCCCAGGCTGGTCTCAAACTCCTGGGCTCAAGTGATCCACCTGCCTTGGCCTCCCACAGGGCTGGGATTACAGGTGTGAACCCCCATGCCCTGCCCTCATGATCCTTTGTAGACTGAGGGAAAGAAGAAGAGGGTGAGGCCCCCCTCTCCTCAGCACTGAGTGCAAGGACTCTCAAGGCAACTCTTGGCAAAGCCCTGTGTTCCTATTGGCTGTTTAGGTGGAATGGTGTCCCCCACTTCCATATGTTGAAGTCCTAATTCTCAGGCCCTCCGAATGTGACTATATTTGGAAATAGAGGCTTTGCAGATGTCATGAGTTGAGATGGGGGCCTCCTGGAGCAGGGCAACATGACTGTGTCCTCATAAGAGGAGAGACAGAAACACACACACACCAGGGAGACGCCATGGGAAGCCAAAGCCACCAGAAAGCCTGGAACAGCCCCGCCCTCACAGCCTCCGAAGGAACCAGCCCTGCCGACACCTGGATCTGGGCCTTCCAGCCTCCAGAACTGGGGGAGAATGAAACTGTTGTTTCAGCCACTCAGGCTGGGGGCCTTTGTTATGGCAGCTGAGTGGGTGCCTCCCTCTCTGGGGACGGCCAATCCCTGTGGGGGAGGCAGTGGTCCTGGTCCAGGAATGTGAGAGAGGCTTTCTCAGTGTCTTCACTCCTCCAGCTCACACAGAGGCTGGTAGCGGCTGCAGCCCGAGCTCTCCTGGGGAGTCTGTTTACTCAAGGTCACCCTTGGTCCAGAGGAGCCCAAGGTCTAGGTCAAGTTTCCTCTGGGATGTCCCCAAGGCTCCTCAAACAGGTGTCGTCAAACCATTTGCCCAAGGGCCCATTAGCACCTGGCAAGTGTTAGCCAGGCTGATCTGCCGCGGGCTGCCCTGAGTGGGGCTCTAGCTGCCCAGGTTGGGACTGGAGCAGCCAAGTGGCTGAGCAACAAGGTGCTTCGTGTGTGGTCCCTGTGAGCCCTCCTGAATATTCTCATGGACGGACGGATGGACAGGAGGCTCAGCGGGCTCTGGGGAGCAAGGGGAGCCCTTGCCGCTCTCCACATGGCTCCATTCCAGGACCAGGACAATGATGCCTTCCTGGCTGGAGCCAGAAGCAGAGCAGCTGACAATGGGCCAACCCTCCTGAGGAACAGGTATCCCCCAGAAACCTCCTCCACTGCCCTCCTGAGGAACAGGTGTCCTCCCAGAAACCTCCTCCACTGTCCTCGTCAGTGAAGGCGTCAGGGACTAGGAGCGGCCTCCTCCCTCCTTCCTGGAGGCTGCCTCTGGGGTTGAGCTGACAACGGGCCAACCCTCCTGAGGAACAGGTGTCCCCCCCAGAAACCTCCTCCACTGTCCTTGTCAGCAGGTATCCCCCCCAGAAACCTCCTTCCGCTGTCCTTGTCAGCGGGTGCCCCTCCCAGAAACCTCCCTCCACTGTCCTCATCAGCGGGTGTCCCCCCCCCAGAAACCTCCCTCCACTGTCCTCATCAGTGAAGGCATCAGGGACCAGGAGCGGCCTCCTCGCTCCTTCCTGGACGCTGCCCCTGGGGTTGAGCTGGAGAGGTTGAGACATGCTGGGAAGAGGAGGACCAGCCCAGTGGGTGGCCACCCAGCAGCTTGGCAGTGAGAAGAGGCCACGTGTAAGAAGGAAATGCCACCATCCCACTGTACGGGGGGAGCAGGACTCCGGGGATGGGGGTGTTGGGTGTAGACAACCATGCCGATTTGGCACAGTGTCTCAGCAGAGCAGGGCGAGGGTCTGGGACTTGACAGATGCCCCAGGTACCATGGGTGGACAGAGGCCCAGACCCTCTGCGAGACAGCAGTGATCACGTCAGACCCTCGCAGCGTGTGAGGGCTGCAGCGGGAGCCCTGAGTCCTCTCTTCTGACCAGGCAGCAGGGAGGACTCACTGCCCCCAGCCGCACAACGCCTGCCCTGGCCTTGGTCTCGGCCCTCTCACCGGCATGAGCTAGCGCCTCTAGGCCGTTCCTCTGTGCCATGGGACAGGCAGCTGGGAGGACTCAATGCCCCCAGCTGCACAGCACCTGCCCCTGCCTTGGTGTCGGCCCTCTACCCAGCACAAGCTGGAGCCTCTTGGCTGTTCCTCTGTGCCATGGGATGCTCTCCCACTTCTGTGCTGGCTTCTGCCCACGACGGCGCCCCTGGTCACCCGATGGCAGCATCCCCACCTCTCAGAAGAGTTTTTCACAGTGGCAGGCCCTGACCCAGAGTCTCCTGCCTACTTGGTGGCTGAAGGCCCCAGGTGATCCCCGAATCCTGCTGTCTCAGGGAGTTTCTCAGAGTCCCACCTCCTCCACAGAACCAGGGGATTGGCCGAGACTCAAAGCTTCGAAGAATGGAACATGCAGGTGTGCAGAGACCATTTATTACCCCATGGCTGTTCTTGCCTGGAAAGTTGAGTGCCCTGAGATCCCAGCCCCTTGAGGCTCTGAGCAGGACAAATCCCAGAGGCACCCCGTCTCATCCCAACGCACCCGAACCACCAATTGTGGGCTCCCCCAGTCCTGCCCCATCTTCTGGAGAGTCTGGTGAGGTGGGGAGGGTGCGTGTGTGTACATGTTTGTGCACACGAGCGTAGACGTGTGACGCGGGACAACTTGTCCCAGACCCCAAACCAAAGGCTGGCAGGGACCAGCTGAGAGGTAGTTGTGCCTACTGAGGAAGGACCACACGGCCGTGCTCACTGTAAGTCCGAACTGTTCATTTCTGCTGCAAGGGAACGAGGCAGCCTTGCAAGTCATCTGGCGGCAGTGCCGGCCCATGCTGGTGGCCACCTCCCCAAGGCTCTGACTTGGAAGGGCAGACCCAGAGACCTGACCACATTGAAATGGAACCATGGCTCTTGTTCTGATGAAAGTCTTCACTGGGAGAGGAGTCTCCTCTGAGTGGGCTCTGTGGGGTGGGAGGCCTGGGTGAGTGTCCTCCGCCCCAGTGGCCCCGCTGGATGTCTTTGGTTCTGACTGGACACAGATATGGAGGATGCACCAAGTATGAAGTCAGGCCCTGCCCTCCCAGACTCCCGGCTCCTCTGGCGGCAGGAGGGACACCAGCTCTCAGGGTGAGGACCATTCCTCCTACCTGCACCGATTATGTGCCTCTCAGGGGCCTGGGCAGCAGCCAGACTCCTCGTGCCGCGCCAGGAGGGACATGCGGGAGAAGGTCTTGGCACAGCGCTGGCACTGGTACTTCTTGGTGTCCGAGTGCGTTTGCAGATGGGCCCGAAGGTTGGAGCGGTCGGCAAAGGCCCTGCTGCAGTGTGAGCAGGCATAGGGCTTCTCCCCTGGGGGAGGAAGAAGAGGGCCGGTGACACCATGGAAGGTGGCCTGAAGGCTAAAACACCCACTGTGACCATCAGTGGATACTCCCATCCCTTCCCTACAAATGCTCACAGCCCGAGCACCCAGAGTTGAGCTGTGTGGGGACGGGGTGGCACGCCACACCTGGGCGAGACACACCTGAAGACCCTCTGAGAAGCACAGGCGGCCACAGGCTTTAGATCTCCTAATGTTGCTGCAATAGCCCTCCCGGGGGCCTCGGCCACTGGAAGAGGACGGGGGAAGCACTGGGGGCCTCTGGCAGCTGTTCCTGGCCACTGACAGGCAAGTGGGGGGGTCTGGCCAGCTCCAGCAGAATCCAGAGCAGGGGTAGAGCTGGGGACTTCGAGGAGGCAGCATTTAGGAGCCACTTCCCTTCAGGACAACATGGGGTCTGGACAAAGTCCTGTTTGAACCTTGGCCCAACACCTGTAAAGGGAAGGGTGACTGGGAATCGTGTGTCCATTCCTGTAGCCCCATAGAGTCCTGAGAGACCCCAGCCTGCAGCCCCTGAAGGGCCCAGAGCACCTGCATTCCTGCTGGTGGGACACCAGGCATGCTCCTAGCCAGGCCAGCCTCTTGCAGGGCCTCCCCACACCCCTCACTCCCAGGCTGAGGGCACCAAGCCCCAGGGCCCTTTGGCCTGGAAAGGGGGTATGGGGGGTCTCCTCATCAAAGGGTTGAGAAAAACCGGAAAGGATTTCCTGGAGACCTGGAAAAGGCCTTCCCTCTGGCCTGCATCCAGGTGTGACTCAGAACGTCCCAGTCACAAGAGCCATGACTTAGGGGGTAGGGAACCTCCAGTTAGAAAAAGTGTGAACTAGCTGGGCACAGTGGTTCCTGCCTATAATCCCAGCACTTTGGGAGGCCAAGGTGAGAAGACAGATTGAGCCCAGAAGTTCAAGATCAGCCTGGGCAACATAGCGAGACCCCTGTTTCTACAAATAATTTAAAAATTGGCTGGGCATGGTGATGCATGTCTATGGTCTCAGCTACTCAGGAGGCTGAGGCATGAGAATCACTTGAACCCAGGCAGTCAAAGCTGCAGTGAGCTGTGATCAAACCACTGCACTCCAGCCTGAGCAATAGAGTGAGACCCTGCCTCAGACGAAAATAAAAACAGAAGTGTGAACCTCTGGGCCTGATGTGGAGACTGAAGCTTATTCCTGGAGCCCTTTCTTGCTTTCTGTTTTTACTCTTTGCATGCTGAGGTTGACAGAAAGCCTGGGCAGAGGCTGCTGGCTGGCTCTTGGGAAGAGCAAGCCACTTTTGTACTTTAATGGCATTATTTTTTTGATTTTTTTTTTTTTTTTTTTGAGACAGAGTCTCGCTCTGTCACCAGGCTGGAGTGTAGTGGCACCATCTTGGCTCAATGCAACCTCCACTTCCTGGGTTCAAGTGATTCTCCTGCCTCAGTCTCCCCAATAGCTGGGATTACAGGTGTGCACTGCCATGCCCGGCTAATTTTTGTATTTTTAGTAGAGACAGGGTTTCACTATGTTGGCCAGGCTGGTCTCGAACTCATGACCTCAGGTGATCCACCCACCTCAGCCTCTTAAAATGCTGGGATTATAGGTGTGAGCCACCATGCCTGGTCGGTGTTGTGTTTTGTTTTGTTTTGTTTTGAGTTGGGGTCTTGCTCTGTTGCTCAGGCTGGAGTACAGTGGCATGACCACAGCTCACTGCAGCCTCAACCTCCTGGGCTCAAGTGATCCTCCTGCCTCAGCCTTCTAAGTAGCTGGGCCTACCAGCAGGGGCCACCACACTCAGCTAAGTTTCTATTCTTAGTAGAGACTGGGGTCTTGCTGTGTTGGCCAGGCTGGTCCTGAACCCTTGACCTGAAGTGATCCTCCCGCCTCAATCTCCCAAAGTGCTGGGATTACAGGCGTGACTCCTGCACTGGCCCCTACTGACACCTGGACTTTGGACTTTTGGCCTCTAGTCTGTGGTCTGTGGGACTCTGTACAGATAAGTCAGGAGGCAGAAGCTGAATTGTTTATAAAATCACCCCTCTTCCTTTTCTAACTCCCACAGCCCTCCCTCATCCCCCAGCCCAGACCGTCCTTGCAGACCTTCACCCTGTCCTACCTGTGTGGGTGCGGACGTGGCCCTGCAGCAGCCAGGGCCTGGAGAAGGCCTTTCCGCAGATCTTACAGGTGCAGGGCAGCGTGTGGGTGCGGATGTGCATCTTGAGGGCGCCCAGGCTGGTGTACTCCTTGTCGCAGTACTTGCAGGTGAAGACGCGCCCCGCCTGCAGGTGGCAGTGCAGCTGCCGGTGCCTGGCCAGCCCGGCCAGGGTGTGGTAGGGTTTGTGGCAGTGGAAGCATTGGAAGCCGCCGGGGGCTCGGGGCGTCCGCTCAGCCCCAAGCAGTTTTTCTGAAGCCCTGTGCCCGTCTGGGCCCAGGACTGGGGACCACTGTGTGGGCAGCACCAGCAGTGGGGCCAGGTTGAGGTGGTTCAGGCTGTCTTTGAGGGGTACAATGGGGGCCCAACTGGCCCAAGGGTCGACCCGGCTGACTTCCAAGGCGTCCGGCCCAGAGGCCCCCAGAGCTTCCTCGATCCGTGGAAGGAGGGGCAGGGAGATGCAGGCGATGGCTGAGGAGCCGTCCCAGGGCTGGGGAAGGTCACCGGGCACAGAAGGGGCCTCCTTGTCTTGGGGGAGGAGGGGCACCACCAGCCCCCCACAGGCAGAGCAGGCACCATTGATTTCTAGAGGGGTGGAGGGGAGAGAACATACAGATGAAGACTGAGTCCCCAGCGCTCTGTGTTTCCAGCTCCGATTCATGGGCCCAATCCCAGCCCATCATCAGCCTGGCATGGGAGGTGTAGCCGGGAGCCTGCATGCAGACCCAGCTTGTAAGGGAGCTGGCGGTGCTGTGCAGGGAAGTGACAGCATGGCCAGGAGTGGAGTCATCTAGAACAAGAAGGCCCCGCGGTCTAGAGAGTGAATCTCACTTCCTCTTTAAACACAAAGAAACATCTGACAGGACCCTTCGTGTTCAGGAACATGAAACAGGCCTCGTGGCTAAAGGAGGGCCTTTACACCTCGGCTGGGCGGGTCCCTCTGATGAGTGCCCCCCCACCGCCCCCGCAGAGGGGTACCAGCCTGGGCCAGCATCCTCCAGGCGCCCACGCAGCACCCATAAGTCAGACGCTTGGCAGCAAGGAGCTGGCTGAGTGTAAAATCAGCCCCCTCATAACTAATCACCCTCCAGTCACCCGACAGCTACCCCTCGGGCATCTCCTTTTGTGGATAATGAGGCAGTGAGCTCAGAAGCCTCCCTGACCGCTGACCAGTGCCCGCTCTGCTGTGCTCTCAACACAGCTGAGCCACATGGCTGGGGTGCTCTGGCCCAGGCTTTCAGAATTGCCCCTGGCTGGGCTCCTCCCCAGGACGGTGGTTCCCGAATTTGGGGGCCGGCACACCACACACCACACACCACATGGTTGGTCCGCTTAAGGGTAGCAGCCCCCAAATAAACAGGTTAGTCTGCAGGCAAGAGTTAAATTCTGTATTTCCCCAAAGCCAAAACCTCCCAACAGCCCTCAATCCCTTTCTTACTCTAGATGTGTTAAAATAGATCTCTGGCTCTGTTTCTACCTCCATGCTGAGGCTTTGGGTAGAGAAAGACAACCCATAGAATAGGAGAAAATATTTGCAAATCAGACTTCTGATCAGGAATAGCATCTAGAACACTAGAACATATAAAGGATGTTAGCAAGTCAACAATAAAAAGACAAATAATACAATTTTAATATGGGCAAGGGATTTTTTCTTTTTAAGATGGAGTCTTGCTCTGTCGCTAGGCTGGAGTGCAGTGGCGCGATCTCTGCTCACTGCAACCTCCGCCTCCTGGGTTCAAGAGATTCTCCTGCCTCAGCCTCCTGCATAACTGGGACTATAGGCGCCCTCCACCACACCCGGCTAATTTTTTGTATTTTTTAGTAGAGACAGGGTTTCACCCTGTTAGCCAGGGTGGTCTCAATCTCCTGACCTCGTGATCCACCCGCCTCAGCCTCCCAGAGTGCTGGAATTATAGGCATGAGCCACCGCGCCTGGACTTTTTTTTTTTTTTTTTGAGACAGAGTCTGGCTCTGTCTCCCAGGCTGGAGTGCAGTGG